ACAGTCATTGAAGCTTCACATGCTTGTTTATGTAGAGTGGTTTGAGCTAGTGAGAGAAATGAGCACTGCCGAACGAAAATGAAGACAGTGATGGGAAAAGTTGGAAAGTATGAGGTTGGGAGAACCATTGGAGAGGGAACATTTGCAAAAGTGAAGTTTGCACAAAACACAGAGACTTGTGACAGTGTCGCTATAAAGGTCTTGGCAAAGAGTACCATTCTCAAGCACAAAATGGTTGATCAGGTTTGCTTCCTCATGTTGCTATGGCTATCATATTAACTGCTGTTGTTTCCTTTCAAGTGTATGAGGGGAAAGAAAGGAAATTGTTATCCCATTATCCAGATTTTGTCTTTGATTTAAACATTTTGACTTTGACTATGAAATATATTTGTAAAGAGAGATTCTGCATACACATTGGCCTTGTCATATGTGGGACAAAAACATAATCAAAATCACCACGCTACTGACGTTGCAAATTCAAGTTGAAGTTAGCATGCGAAGAAAATGGAAACACTTACATATATCAGTTTGTTTGGTTCCTTTCCTTGTTAAGTCTTAGGTACTGATTCAAGTTCATTTCCAGATAAAACGTGAAATTTCCATTATGAAGATTGTCCGACATCCTTGTATAGTCAAATTGCATGAGGTAAGCTTAAGCTTCTTATGGTGCATTAAAATTGATTCAGGCATCAGTTTTAGCTGCTGTATTCAGTGTAATCATTTTTACTGGAAACTGTTGCTTTTTTTGTTCCTTTGCCTTGCAGGTTCTAGCCAGCCAATCAAAAATATACATAGTTCTTGAATTTGTAACTGGTGGAGAACTTTTTGATAAAATTGTAAGTACTTTTTAATTTCTGAACAATACAAGTGAATATTTTCTTATGGAAACCATTTGCATCAACATGGAAATGAAAAATTGTTTGTTTGATTACATATAAACCTAAAATATGTGTCATGTGATCATGTCTGAGCTTATTTGTAAGTGTGTATATGTGTGGACTTGGAAGGTCAGTGAGTATAGAGAAAATGCATTTCCAAACACACATTTGTATGCATGAGTATAAAAGGCACTGTGAGTAAGGTATCTCCAAGCAGTCTTCTTAGTGTGAAATGTTCCGGCATCCTTTTATTTTCTGTGGGCTTTGATTGTTACATGCATGACTGGCGCCATTCTTATATTTCTTCTGGATACTCAGGTTCACCATGGAAGACTCTCTGAGAATGAATCGAGGAGATACTTTCAACAACTGATTGATGCTGTTTCCCACTGCCACAGCAAGGGTGTGTATCATCGTGATCTAAAGGTGTGAGTCAATTTTTAAAATAATTGAGATTACTGCTTTTCTTAGGGTTCAAATCTGATGGATAAATGTATCATAGCCTGAAAACCTGCTCCTTGACTCCAAAGGAAGCTTGAAGGTTTCTGATTTTGGGCTGAGTGCGTTGCCCCAACAAGTAAGAACAATTATTATTTCAATTTAGATGGTTTTGGTTCTTGTTGGTTCTTGTTTTGTTTTACTTTGGGTGTGGAATGTCATTCACCGTTTGTGACAATTTCCGTTCTATCCTCTTCCTAAATCCATGAACAGGGAGTTGATCTTCTCCATACAACTTGTGGGACTCCAAATTATGTTGCTCCTGAGGTTTGATTTTCATTATGTAGTGTTTATCTAAAAGCGAGCCACCTGTCTTAATTCGTGGTTTTCTTAGCGTGTATACTGACTTCTTCGTAATTTCTTTGTTTGGATGAAACATACTTCAATTTTATTTGAGAGCAGGACACCTATTATGGCCAATATAAGAAGTTGTGATTTATGCTTGTTGCTATCTTTGTATTGATCTAGTTATTTCAATGCTTTGATAGTCCTAAACATCTTAACTAAATCAAGTACTAAGGATTCATTTTCTAATTACCTTTTTTTTTTCCTTAAATTTTTCCCCTTTGTGGTTTCGTTTCTTTATTTGGTATAACAGTAACTTGAATTGGTGCTCAGTGTTGCATATAAAGGTCAGTGTTCATCTCTTTCCACCTCCTATTTATGTATAGTATGGAACACATGTATTTGTATAAGCGCCTGTTGCTTTTATTTATCCTACTCTGTCCAGAAAAAAAATAATAATAATATGGCCATTTAAGTCCAAAAGCAACCTAATGAACTTTAAGGGAGTGGTACTTTGAGAATCACCATGTGCAAGATACAGTAGCTAATCTAGCTGGAAATGTGATGAATACTGTGACATGTGGAAGGAGTGTAACTTGATATGAGTACTTATTGTGCTCTAGTTTCGTTGTCTATAGTGTTTTCGACATTGTACAATGTTTACTCTGAGCATTATACTAGAAACTGCCTTATGATTTGCAATTGTTCTTCTCAATGAGATTTAATAGTAAAAAAGTATATGTTCTACATCACATATATGTATGAGTAGCCTAGCTATTGTATCTCTTTCCTGAATCAGATAATCTCCATTATGCAATTTGATTCTGAATAGGCCTTGCCCTAGTATCTTTTGACTTTGTTAGCCTTTTCATTTGTTGAACATATGTTTTCGAATCTTCAGTACATAATTGTTTGTTTGTTTGGAAATGTCCCGAGAGGATTGGAGATTAAGACGGGATCCCAACAAAGTCTATAAGGATTGAAAAGAGTCCACCTGTAAGCTTTAATCAGTATTAGACCTCAACCCACAAAGCACAAAACAAAGTACTGAACAAGAAATGTAAAAGCACACGCGCAACAACTGGAAAATGGTCTAATAGGTGCCCAATGATACAATCTGCAACACAATATGTGGGCCAAAATATATCATAAAACTATGACTGCTAAGAGACTTGTAACTTCTAGATATGACTGCATTTATAAGAGTTGTTTTAAGTTTGAAGTAAGCCCATTGCTACTCAATCTCAAAAGTTGGTTAATACAAATCAAATCAATCTGCCTAATAAAGAGACATGAACAATATTCTAAGTTCTAACTATAGAATATATACACAAATATTCTAACATAATCAATGAGCAAGATATCTATAATTTACCTAACTGGTTCTGCATGCATTAAATGCTTGTCATATTTGCTGTATCTCACAATTCGAAGTGTTGATTCATGGAAGTTGTGATGCTGTTAAAGTTACTTGATTTGTTCCAAAGTTGTTATGGATTCCAGCTTTTGTCCTTCTACCTGTTTCTTTTTTCCCATATATGTGTTTCCTCTGGAGATGTCTATTGTGCTATTGAATGGTCAAATAACCTCATCAAACCATCAGCTCATATACTAGGTCATTTTATCTGCTTTCCTTTAGGAACGGAAAAAGGAAAAGGAAAAATGTTACTCTTGCTGATATCTTGGTTATTTGTCTCTAATGTCTATAGGTATTAAGCCACCGAGGTTATGATGGTGCTGCTGCCGATATTTGGTCATGTGGTGTCATCCTATATGTTTTAATGGCAGGATATTTACCATTCGACGAGACAGACTTGCCCTCTTTGTATAACAAGGTCAATCTATTCATATTCAGTCTTATGCTATGAATATATGAAACACAGATCCATATCATTCATTCATTTGCTAACATATGAAAGGCTTATTAGTTATATTTAAGAAAGCTTCGTGCATTTCTTGTCCGATATGTAAATAGTTTTTCGATGGAAGTAATTATCTTATTAGCTAATTCACTATTCACAAACATGCTACATGATTTTAGACATTTGCAACATTTTTGGTGCTCCCTTCACTGTGTTATTTTTTTTATTTATTTTTTTATTTATTTTTTCGGACTTCAATTTGTAACTGCAGTTGCGAGGGTTTTGAATAAAATGGGTCACAAAATTATTAGAAATGTACTTCCACACATTTCTAGTGGGTCAGTATCTTGGTACCAACTATCTTTTTTCATAAATTTAGTCAATTGATGCTTTACACATTTCATTGACATTGTTCAGCCTTCGTCCAGAAACTCTGTTATAAGTAATTTATTGGATAACATTGCCAAGTTCTCATCTCTTTCTTATTGTACAGATTAATGCTGCACAGTTTATGTGTCCGTTATGGTTTTCTCCAGCTGCTACATCATTGATACACAAAATCCTTGACCCCAATCCTGAAACTGTAAGTACAGGACATATCCTACTCCAACTTTTGACAGTTCATGGAATCAATTGAGTTTATTTTTCAAGCAGTTTTGCATATATAAGCAGCACTTTCAAAATTCCACTTTTTACTTTTTGTATTGACTTGTTTATTACATGCATGATTTAGCAACACAGCGAGTTTTACATAGAATGTTTGATGAGTAGATTTCCCATAACAAACATGATATAATTTATAAAAGGCCATCTGATATAAAATAATGACACACAGTTGCAAGAATTGGTATGCATCAAGGATGTCAGAATGCTGAAACATAGTAATTTTTTTTATCTCCTTTGCTTGGAAGTAATTTATTATACTTAGAGCTAATTGTTTAACATTATCAAATATCAGAAGCAGCACCATCATAACCTCAGTGGCTTAGGGTGTGTTTGTTAAAGAATATACTCAAACCAAATTAATTCTACTCAAAATTTAACTCAACTTTAACTCAACCCCACTATCCTCAATATTATCAATATAATTAAATAATAACAACCAATCATTAAATAATAACCAATTATTTTTACACATCATATCAACTTTAATTCACTATTCATCCACTCACATAATTTTAACTAACCATCACATCATATCATCTCTTTCCTACTTTTACATCAAATCAATTTTAATTATTTTATTTTTAATATTATTTTAATATAAACTCAAAATCTCACTAACAATTAACTACACTACTTTTTCTAAATTAACCCTAGTTGACTCAAAAAAATTCATTTTGAGTTAATTCGCTCAAATTATTCCTTTAACAAACACACCCTTAGTATCTATAGACATTAGAGATAAACAACCAAGGTACCAGCAAAATAAACATTTTTTTTTTCTCTTTTTCATTCTTCTTTTACTGAGGACAGCGGATAATAAAATTTTCCGATGCCTGCACCAATGGAGATAGTTTCTGTGCTTGATTCCAGAATAAGATTTTCAGTATTCTTTTGTTTAGTGTAATGCTGTTAAGTTAGATTCAATATTCTCAATGAGGATTACATAATATAATTAAAGGACCTAATCTACGGGATTTACCATATCACATATCACCTAAGTCCTACAATCTAATCTATACTATAGTCACTATAATACTCCCCCTCAAGCTAGAGCATATATATCCATTATGCCCAGCTTGTTACAAATATTTTTCATTCTTACACCATTTACTGCTTTTGTAGATTCCCCAACTAATCCTCGGACTTGACATAGTGACTAAACATCTTCGACCTTATCACTAACAAAGTGGCAATCTATCTCGATATGTTTGGTCCGTTCATTGTTTTCTGCTTGGTTGTCACACCAATGTGTTGGTAGGAGATAAAATTCTAACCCAAGCTCCTTTAAAGGACGATTGGATATAAATCAAAACTGGTTTGGATTAGATTTTGAGTTAAAATGAGTTAATTTTATATAAAGTTGATTGAGTGGAGAATTAAATGAGATTATGAGTTCGTATATAAATATTATTTAAATTGTAATGATTAAAGTTGATATGATGTAAAAGTATGAAATAGATTATTGAGTGAATTAAAGTTGATTTGATATGTGAGAATGATTGATTGGTATTATTTAATTATTTTGATAATACTGAGGAGAGTTGAGTTGGATTAAATTTGAGTTAGATTTTCAGTTAAAGTGTATAATTGATCCAGTTAGTCAAAATCGGTTTTAATCTGTAGCCAATCGCATCCTTAGTAATTGATATATCCATACAACTTCACATACTGATTCGGCCTTCGACCTATACTCTGCCTCAACAACTGATCGAGAAACAACATTTTGCTTCTTGTTACTCGAAATTAGATTGCTTCCCCAGTAGTCTTCTATCATCTTTGCAACCTGCGTAGTCAGCATCACAATATGCTTGGACTGCATAACTGTTGAATCACTCTGTCGCATAAAACTATCCCTGAGCTCCCTTCAGGTAGCACAAAATTTGTTCAAGAGTTGCCCAATGATTAACAATCGGAGAAAGACATAATGGATTTGTTGCACCAACTGCAAAGGATATGCCGGGGTGTGTTACGGTGATACAATTTAGCTTCCCTACAAGTCTTCAGTATCGTTCTGGATCATGAAATGGCTCATCATCATCCTTTCGTAAATGCAAGTTTGGTGTCTGGTTTTGCCCCAACTTTTTCAGTTTCTTTAAGAAGGTCTAGCACATACTTCTTGTGACAAAGGAAAACCCCTCTCTTACTTCTCTTTATCTTACTTCTCTTTATCTTTACTCTCAGAAAGTATTTCAAGTGTCCCACGTCCTTTGTTTGAAATTTCTCATGGAGGAAGAATTTTAGATTTGAAATCCCATCATTATCATTCCACATAACAACAATATTATCGACATACACCACCAATAAAATGATCCCATGTCTTGATCTCCTATAGAATGCCGAGTGATCTTATTTACATCTCACCAACACATATTTGAAAACAATCTTACTAAATCTGTCGAACCAAGCTCGGGGACTTTGCTTTAATCCATATAGAGACTTATGAAGACGACATACTTTCCCCTGAGCAACAAAACAAGGTGGTTGCTCCATGTAAACATCTTCCTAAGGAAAAGCCATGGAGAAACGCATTCTTACTGTCAAGTTGGTGCAGTAGCCCGTCAGAAATCAGAGAAGAGTGAACAGGGGAGATGAGCAACCGGACAAAACTAAGTTTGGCTATGAGAGCGAATGTGTCAAACTTATCTGTGCCATAAGTCTGAGCATGTCCCTATAAGCGGAGCTTTAAGACGTGCCAAAAAGCCATCAGGATTAACTTTAATAGTGAAGACCCACTTACATCTAATTGCCTTTCTACGAACAGGTAAGTCCACTAAGGACCATGTGCCATTATGATCAATGACATTCATTTCCTCAATCATCCCACCCATGATGAGCCAAAACAGCGCCAATAGATGTAGGAATAGGGATAGAGTCTAGCTTGGCAATAAAAGAACTTGAAGAACATAAGACACAACAGAAGATTTTATTCATAACATGGACGATTTCACAGACACAATTTTATTCGCAGCCATAAGAACAGAATTGTGCCCCCAAAGTGAACCAATCACAACAAAAAAATCAATGACGAAATTTTTTGCCAAAAGATCCTCATGAAATAAATAAATTCCAACCTGCACACCAAGAGTCGCCCAAACACAAAACTGAGAACACCAACAAGAAGATTGAGGAATTTTGAGCAGGCGGACGTTCATCGGAAGATTTTCCGGCCAGACATACGCCTTCATGCGTCCACGCGTGAGACAGACCGTCGGTGCGGCGGCGCGTGTGGCTCACACCCGCGGAAGCTGGCGTCGATGCTTGACCGGACGACCAGTCCAACAATGACTAATCTGATGGTGCAAAAGGTGAGACTCAAAACTCACCCAAAATATTGACTAAAAATTTCAAAAAATCCTAACTTTATTTTGGTCTATGATGCCATGTAATGCTGTTAAGCTCAAATTGATTATACAAGCCAAAAGGGATTTAAGAAAGGAAAATAATCAAAGGATTGGATTTACCATATCACCTAATACAATCTAATATATACCATATTTACAATAACATTTAGGAAGTTTGATATAATATAAATAATCACGTGAATAGATCCAAACAAATAACAAGTATAAATTTTGTTAGGAGGTTTGATGTGAAATAAACACAATCAAATCACCTGAATAGATTGTTGCGATATGATTAAATATATTCGGTTTATGTTGGGGCCCATCATTTTGATTTTGTATCCTGATCCATATCTATTATTATTATATAATAAGGCCAAGGATTTACCTAAAATAGCAGGTAGAATCCCACCTAAACATTTCAAATTTACTAAATTTTGAAATTTCTAAAATAATTTAAAATTTGAAATTTTAAATGAAAATAAGTATATACATACCAATACTTTTTGTGTATACCTTGAAAGGATACATTCAAAATCACCTTCCAACATTTAAGTTTTAAAAATAACTTAATATGATCGTTTAGTCCAACATTTAATTTTGAAAAATAACCAAAATATGTTTGTTTAGTCCATCGTTTAACTTTAAAAAATAAATTTAATATTACTTTCGTGTGCATCGCACGGGATATGCAACTAGTGGAGATAAACACAATCAATATAATCAACCAATTGCCAACCGATATCTCCGCAACATGCTTTTTGTTAGTTTAATCGAACGGAACTTTTGCAATGCTAACAATTCTCCCCTTACTAAGAAGTTTTTCAGTTAAGAATTGGGTTCCTTCTCTTACTTTTTGTTTTCTCTCCTTTACTGTTTTTGCAAAGATTGCTGGCTTTTCTACTTATATGTACACAAATTGATAATTCGCCAACATGCTGGTTTGCCCTTGACCATTCTGATTAGAGTGGTAATTTTGCAGCGTATTACTATTGAAGGAATAAAAAAGGATCCATGGTTCCAAAAAAATTATGTGCCTGTTAGACCTAGAGAAGATGAAATGGTGACCCTGGATGATGTTCGTGCAGTTTTTGAGGACATTGAGGTTGGATTATTTTCTGCTGATATTTCATTAATTAGCTGATTTTGATAGCTTTGGCATTGGATTACTTTCTACATATATTTTATTGGTATGATAATAAGGCCTACCCAAGGTTTTTGGCATGTAAAAAAAAAAAAAAGAAAAGAAAAGAAAGAAAGAAATAAAACAGTGGGATTATTTTGAAAATTACAACCACTGTTGACTGTTGAGATTTGTTGCACTTGCATTCTATTTTCCCCAACTGTTAGGCGACGTGATGGAATTTGTTGAAGTCCTCAATATATTACAATTAAACACTCAACTTTTTGGAACATCTAAAAAACCCCAGCATTTGGTTTCGATTTTTGTACTATTTAGAAATATGTGGAATGTAAATGAAAAAATTAAGGTTGTTTGTAATAAACAGAGAAGTTGAGGGATTTAAATTTTCAACAGTACAAATATTTGATGGAATCAGCAACAACAACAACAACATAGCAGTGTTTTCGTAATTCCACCTGCGGTGCGGCTGTAATTCATTGAAACTCAAGGAAAGAATTGTTATTTTTAAAGTTGGATGGGTTTTTTTTTTCTGTGATTTGATCAAATCTCAAGGTAGTTTTCGTATCATCCCTATTTGGTTTGGTTTGTCTCTTAAATAACATTTGAACTTTACCATTCGATAGCTTCTGATTCTGTATTTAAAACCATTTTGTTTATGCTATCTTTTGGTCTATGGTTAAGGTCAAATCATATTAATTCTTGCAAGAAGCAACATACTCTTTTTTTCCATTCAGTATCTTTACGTTTTGACTGAAAATGCAGGACAAATATGTAAATGAGGAATCCCAACATGATGGTGATGGCCCTTTGATAATGAATGCATTTGAAATGATTACCCTTTCTCAGGGTTTAAATTTATCGGCCTTGTTTGACAGGAGGCAGGTATGTTGATAGAACCTTGATATTGATAACTATGATACGAATTTATTATGGGAAACGACTCTTAATCCTTGTTAGACAAATTGTTTGAAAATAACATGCTTCGTTACATCTACAAGTTGGAGTATGCATGCTGCTCTTGAGACAATCCTTCGTGCACCCACATCGTAATAAGACATGGTTCTTGTGGGAAAATGCATAAGTCACAAATCTTGAAACTTTATTATGTTGAAACATAGGATCAAACTACACTATAAAGCATCCACAGTAAACTGGAATCACCTTTTCATGTGCATCATTAGCAGCAGAATGTCTGAAAGCCATCTCATAATATTTAGTTACATAACTTAATCTCCTCAAATCTTGCTCTGCATCATCATCTTGATCTCTGATTACTGTGGCTAAATCACCTTTTGTGATGTTGCTAAATTTAAATGGTGGTAGATGTTTTGCTCTCTTGCTGTCCATTGTTTGAAGTTTGTATTCTGAATTTTGGACTTTTTATACATAGGATTATGTCAAACGACAGACTCGTTTTGTTTCTCGACAACCTGCAAAGCTTATACTTGCAGCAATTGAGGCTGCTGCAGAATCAATGGGTCTCACGGTTCACACTCGTAACTACAAGGTTGACTTCTCCCTCAAACTTTTGTTGTGAAATGTTGTAACGAGTGTTTGGTGATTGTGTGCTGACTCATTAGAGATTTTAAGAAAAATTTTATTTTCTAAGAACTAACTCTCTCTCCCTCTATCTCTCTCGTTTTTTAATTTTTCTCTGTGATTGGTTGTCAATGAGAGAGCCTTCTTCATGCAGTGAGTGTGATACGTTGTTAACATTGTACACGAAGTTCTAAATACAAAGATACACATACTTGTTGCAGTTTAGATATATCCTTATTTGGATTTTCACGACAGACAGCCATATTATATTAATCATGCACGACTAGTGTAGAGTGTAGATTACAAATTTATTAAATTTTTGGCTCTTAACGTGGCTAATGACTCTCAGATGAGATTGGAAGGTGTATCTGCTAATAGAGGCTGTCAATTTGCTGTTGTCCTGGAGGTTTGTTCTAATATATATATCAATCCCGATTTTGCTTGCCATATATTGTGAGAATTTGTATCATATTAAATCATTCCTTTCTCAAAGGTTTTTGAAGTTGCACCATCTCTCTTTATGGTGGATGTCCGTAAGGCAGCTGGAGATACTCTGGAATACCACAAGGTTTACTTACCTCTCTAATCTGAAATCTACTCTCATACCATAATTAGATGCAATTTTCTTTACATTTATTTCCCTGCAGTTCTACAAGAACTTCTGTTCAGTTATTAATCATGTAATTTGGAAACCGAGCGAGCGTATGCCGAATCCTGTTTAATGGTATGAAAGAAATCTGTCAGCAAAGTCAAAACACAAGGGAGATCACATAGTTTAAACTCTGCTGGAAAACCATTCCTGTTTAATTAATTATTGGTGACGATGAAGATAAGAAAATAATGGAAAGATTGTTTTTATGTAATATTCTTGTCAAGTGGTAAAGCTGTTAGCATTTTTAATTAAAGTGTATATCTTCGAAAAGTTCGTTGGGTAAGGAAAGTCCGAAGGCGAAAAGATGCAAGTGTTGTATATGTATAAACGTTGTCATGTTTCTACACATAGTGTTCATCAACTGAAATGAAACGCGATATTGTAAAGGATACATCTGCAGAGGTTAATGTGTCACAAGTCTGTATATAGACAATAAAAAGGATTTTTTTACCAACAAAAAATAAAAAAAAAATGAAAAAAAAAAAAATAGTGTCGACCAAAATAAAAAGCACGTATTCACTAAATACGTTTTCAATTGTAAACCGTATTTACGTAATACGTTTCAATAGAACTACGTATTTACTTAATACGTTTTTCTAAAAATTAATTTGTTAACTTAATTAACGTAATTAACTTAATTAAAATGTGTAAAAACGTATTGGGTAAATACGTTTTAGAGTAAAAAAATTAAATACGTATTATATAAATACATTTTTTATTTAAAATTAATTTTATATACATTTTTTTTATTATAAAACGTATTTAGGAAATACGTTGTCAAAATAAAATTAATTTTTACAAGTCATAAAAATAATTTTTCTCGGAAAAAAAATTTCGAAATATAAACCGTATTTTAAAAATACGGTTTTTATGTAATTTTGCCCCAAATTATTTTTTGTGCCCTAATTTTAGCCCTAATTTGATTTTGCCCTAAATTTCCAAAGTAAACGTATTCATGAAATACGTTTTTTAGTTTAAAAAATTAAAAAAGGCATTAACTGAATACGGTTTTATCAGAAATCCTATTAATAGTCAAATATACCTGTTCACAATCAAATACACCTGTTCGAGCAACTAATATCAACATATTCGTCCAATAATAATCCAACATACCATATAAACAAACAAATGAAACACAATAATTTGTCGAACAAACAATATATACAAAACGATATAATTCGGTTATACAGGCAATCCAACAATTCAAAATAAACACAAAATCCACGAATTCAACACAACTAACTAGGAAGGAGTGTATGGTTATGTAGGCTTGCGTGGTCTGGACCCCCTCCGAGTATATACCATGTGAGAAGAAGACGAAGGTTGAGGTGTGAGAAGAGTGTCAGTCTGAAAAGCCTGCTCATTTTCATCTTCTTCATCTGAATAATTCAATTGAAAAAAGAAATCATAAATTGGACTGTAAAAAATAAATAAAAATAAATTGTTAATTTAAAAATCTCACCTTGTTGAGGCTCGGACCGCTCAGGTTGGAGGTGCTGGGCGGACGGCTGAGCGCGGGGACGGGCCCGAGGTCTTCTACCCCCACTAATGTTGGGGGCGGGTTGATGTCTGGCCGTGTGCGACTGTGTCCTCATGGGGGGAATGTATTCGTCCTGGGAGAAAACTTGACTGGACGGCCCCCCATGTGGAACACCCTGGCCGCCAACAGTCAGAGAAGAGAAGGCAAAGTTGTACGACTGTTGGAAGCCGGTCTGCGCTTCTGGAGGGATTTGAGGCATTGATGGTTAAATGTCGGATAATGTGCCATAAGCAGAAGTCTGTAAATAAAATTCATAATAATTAGTATGAAACACAAAAATAATAATAATAATAATAATAATAATAATAATAATAATATTAATAATAATAATAATAATAATAATAAACACAAATAATGAACACTTACCTGACAGCCTAAGCGCTCGGCAAGTGGCTGATACCCGCCCGCATGCTGGAACACTGGGTAATTGGCAGGGTTATTGATGAATCTCACAGTCCTGCTGTGAAACCAATCAATGTAATCCTGCTCCGGCTGCAGATAGTTGTGCACGAGGACAACTGGGAGGAGACGTTGTTCTAGTTCTTCGGTCCACGAGCTCAGAAAGGGCACATGGAACGCGGCCCAATCGTAAAACGCTCTCCCACTCATCCCTTGACCCTTGTGGTGTGCGTCCCACTCTCGCTCATCCAGAATGATCGAATCGTGGGGTATGGACTGGCGACACCCAAATTGACGGAGGACCCTGTCAGACAGGTGTACCTCCCGGATGTTCCAGCTAAAAATCCACCCCCGGTACATCCAAAATTGTGGATCTCTTGAGCACGCCTCCGGGAGAGTATCATCCTGCAGGTGTTGTCGATATGGCTGCCAGTCGAACTGTAAAAAAAATAACAATTGAATTAGTAATTAAGTTATTACAAAATTATAAACAAAAAAAAAGAAAGAATATTACATCATACTCTCCCAGCCCTGTCAACTGATCCCGGTAGGCGACCAATGTATTGGATATGTTGGACTTCTTTTTCGGTCCCACCCACCTTAAAAATCAGAGAAAAAAAAAGTTTGTAATCACAAAATTTGATAATGAAAATAATGTACGGATTAAATAAAAATAAAGGTTACCTCGCTCCCAATGGACAATCAGGCAGAGTATCAAACCTACTGTTCTTGACTATTGGGCGAATACGAGGGATATGCTCCCATGCCCAAACCTACACAAATGGACATTAATTTTGTTATTAGGTATTAGTCGAAGTAAGAAAGAATAAAATATTAAATTTTCAAATAATAATTAAATAAATTTACTTGGATCAATTGAATGCAGTTCTTGATCCACTTCTCCTTGGCCTTGTACGAGGTTGACAAAGCTCTGTATACTCCAGCCAGTAGAGTTGAACCCCAACTGTACCCTTGAACAGCATCTATGTCCTGCAGCAGGTCCAGCCAGTAAAGTGGGACGCCATTCGCCCGCTGGTCGGGGAAAATGAAGGACCCAATGCACCAGAAAATAAGGGCCCTCGCCCTCTGCTCGTACACGATGTCCGGTTGCCCTTCTTGCAACACACGGTTGCATTCCTCCTCTAACCCTCCATCATTCAGATATTGGCCTCTAATGTCCCAAGACTTTGGATCTTGGGCTGCCTTTTCTTCCTCGGTGGTGGGAGGATCTTGAAAGTAGTTTTTCCATATTAAAAACGATAAAATTGAGTTGACATATATTTCAAAAAAAATTATATGAAAAAATATACCTGAACATAGGGCTCGTACCCTAGCAAGCCCTTGCACCTCTCTCGCCACTGTAGGGGTGATAGATCTCTAGTCAATCCCACAACAGCAGCTCCACGGATTGACAGACCGAACAGGACTTGTACGTCCTGGAGCGTGATGGTGGCCTCGCCGAAATCAAAATGGAATGTATTCGTCTTTGGGCGCCACCTCTCCACGAGAGCAGTAATAAGGCTGTTGTCGGCTTAGACTCGACCCATCCGAAACAAGTGTCCGAAACCAGTCCGGTCGATGACCTCCCAAACCGACCGTGGCTGGCTTGACAAAGCCACCCAGAATTGACTGTCGAAACGGCGGTTTGTAAGCGCCGTGTCACGAGCTCCCGACGCATTACTAAATACCGCCTGTGACCGGTGGCGGTACTGGAGATATAGAAGAGTGTCATCCCTCGGACCGGGATGGACACTGTACTGCTGAGGCTGTGAGGAGGATGATGAAGCCATTTATCTACACACAATACAAAACAGTACATATTAGGATAAAGGTTATTTATTAGAAAATAGTTCAATTTGTATCTACACACAATACTCAATTCACCTTAGCAAATATATCAAGTCAACTCACCTGAGCAAATAATTTATATCCATCAATATAATTCATCAATAATTTATACATTCGCGAAACACCTAATTATAATCGAGTCCACAATTTCACAATTCGAAGTTCAATTTGTAGTCCTAATTCTGAAAAATCGAACTTCACACAATACTTCACACACTAGTTCATACAATAGTTCACAATTTCACAATTTCAACAACATTAGAGTTTGAAGTCCTAATTTGAAGTTCTAAATTGAAACCCTAACGTCTTAATTCCGAGAATTCCCTAATTCTAATCAACCCCTAAATCGAAACCCTTAATGCAAATCAATTCCCTAATTTCCTAATTCTAATGAACCCTAACACCCTAAAATATCAAATTTTAATGAAACCTTTACTTAAAAACGTATTATGAAAATTCGTATTTATTGAAAAAAATTGAAAAAAATTTGGCCATTTTACCTAATTGATGGGTTCGATTTGCAGTTGAGGTGGTGGTGCGGCGGCGGTGGGGCTCGGCGGCGGTGGCGCGACGCGCGGGCGGGTNAGAAGACGACTTTTTTTTTTGTTATATCTAACAGAAAACATATTCAGAGAATACGGTTTTCGTAAGATTTATTTATAAACCGTATTCTCTGAATACCGTTTCCTTAAGAATAAAAAAAACGTGAAAAATGGTAGGAGGATCCCAGATTCGGGAATCGAACCCAGGTGGGCGAGTCCGTTATCTCTGGGCGCACCTCGTTACCATTGGGCCGCGCTAGGCTATCGCTGAAAGTTTTGCACAACTTTTGTTGTTATCCTTCAACATCAAAATTTTTTATAGTATATAATATTGTTAATATATTGTATATACATATATATTATAATTTGACATATAGTATATATCATATAGTAGTATATAGTATATATATTATATAGTATATATTATATATTATAGTGAAATCGAACTCGAATTAGTACAATTAAACTCGAATTAGTACAATTAAACTCAATTATAGTGAAATCGAACTTGAATTAGTACAATCGAACTCGAATTAGTACAATTAAACTCGAATTAGTACAATTGAACTCGAATTAGTACAATTAAACTCAATTATAGTGAAATCGAACTCGAATTAGTACAATCGAACTCGAATTAGTACAATTAAACTCGAATTAGTACAATTGAACTCGAATTAGTACAATTAAACTCAATTATAGTGAAATCAAACTCGAATTAGTACAATTAAACTCAATTATAGTGAAATCGAACTCGAATTAGTACAATT